TCCAAAGCTTTGGTATTTGTTCTTTCTTGGTTGTAGTGTTGGCAATTTATTTTTCAATATTAGCATAGCGCTTTCTTTCTACACTCAGCTCAGCGCTAATGATTTCACTAAATTATGTATTGTATTTTATATAAAAAAAATATTATTTTTTTCGTGACAAAAAATTAAAGGCAAATATAATGTATAATAATTCTAATAATTAACCTAATTGAGTAACAGTTTTTAGTATAGTCTATTAGTACTTAGTTAGTTGAACCATTAGTTTCAAACCATGATTGAATCATTCGAGCAGTGGGAATCAGGGCATTGTTCTGTTGAAAGATAAAATTTGACTTAGATATGTGTTGAAAAATTGATTTTTAAGAAGTTATGAGATTTTTGTATTAGATAGCATAATATTTTATTCGGCCATCTAAAAATAATATATGTTTATAAATTTAAACATTTAGGAAACGTGTTATTTTTTTAACATTAAAATGATATGTTTTTATATTATAAAATTTCAAACGTTATTAAAGTTAAATATGTATTAATATGTAATTTTGTATTTATAGCTTAAATTTTATACTTGGTTTGAATGGAAGTACATTTAAAAATTAATTTAAATATTTATACTTTTTAATAATTATAATTATATTTCTTATATTAAGTAAAATATATTAAGTTTCAAAGTATTTTCATCATAAAGACGCACACCTAATAAGTTGAAATTATAATAAAATTATAATTTCAATTAATTCGTTTTTATAGTTGATAATAGAAACAAAAATAACAGAGTAATCAGATAAAATAAAAGCAATTTTGTATAGAAGAAGATGACCTATGGGCTAATATGGCATGGGCAAAATGGGTAGAATAGTATACACGTTGACCAATATTGTGATAGAGAGGAGCTAAGTTTCAAATGTACTTTTTTGGGATTTTATATCTGGTCACCATATTTATACCCAACAGCGCCCCATACCAAAACACAACCTCCACCCATTTGACGTTTTGATAGTATTGTTTCTTCTTTTCTTAAATCATAATAGTAATAAAAATAACCGTCATGACCATCTAAATTAAATTTGATTTTTCTGTCTTTAGAATTATATCGGAAAAAATGTATTCAATTTTTACTAACATCTCTTAATGCATTCGTTATAATTCAATAGTGTTATTAAGATCTAATTGTATACAAGATAGGATAAACCCTGTAGATAAATTATGTAAAAAAATGAATAGGTTACATAAACTTTATTTTATAAACATATTTTTACAAAACACCCTGCCTTTATCTTTTCTTTTGCCATGCAGTGTATTCCATGCAATTATTGGTCTCTGGACACATACCAGTTACCGGTCATCCGGTCATCAATAATTTTACTGTATAATTTTTTATACCATGTAATCCCTTTTAAAAATATTTTCTTGGTTTTATCGTTGTTATTGCATTTAAAAAAAAATGTTGCTACGTTTGAACAAGCACAGAAAAAAGCTTGTTCAAACAGTAACCTGTTAGTCATACGCAAATGCGTGCAAAAACAAGAAATATATATCCAAAGCAAAAATAACATCTTTAACATCGACCAAGTTATATTATTTTAAGTGTCTAAAATTAACGATAGCCGTTAAGCTTGTCCTTCAATCGAACCTTGTACCTTCTGGATATTCATTATATACCTAATAAATATCGGGAAAAAAACCTAAAACGATAACGAGTTAGGTTTTTATTTTATATCAGCTCAATAAAAAAAAAAAAAAGAGAGACAAATTACATATGCTAACTAGGTGCCAACCATTTAACTCTCTTTTAATAAAAAAAAATATAAATCTTACAGAAACAAATTATCAGGCATTATAGCAAAACAAAAACAAAACTTTTTCCGTGAAACAATTAAAAAGTATTGCAACAACCCCCCCCCCCCCCAAAAAAAAAAAAATATGGAATGACAGTAAGAGAAATAACATTGCAAACTCAGTTGCAACAATCAAGTTATAATTTAAGTATAAATAATACAACTTTACAATCTACATCTAAACCACTATTAATAGCCAATTTATGTAATAAGCGATGGGTATCCATAACAGCAATAATATAAACCGAAATTTAAATATTAATTCTCCTACATGTACAAATGACTCTAATCAGTCATTTTATTTAAGAAAAAAAAACTGAGTCCGAAGTAAGAAGTATCATTTCTAACATTAAAAGGGACTCAGCTCCTGGAAAAGATGGGATATCAATAAATGTCGGTTAACAAATTAAAGAGATTATATCTGATATTTTAGAACATATTTTCAATACAATTATTCAGGAATGTTATATACCAAATTCTTTTAATGTGCCATAGTATCTCCAATCTATAAGAGTGATGATAAATCAGCCATTAATAATTATAGACCAATTTATTAGCTTACTAAAATATATTTTTCGAACATTTTTGAAAGAGCAATTAAAACTAGTAGACTATTAGGTATCTTATTTAGAAGAAAATACAATTCATCCAAAATCTCAGTTTGGATTTAGGGAAAGGCTTGGAACTGAAGATACCCTCGCATAACTATCAATGGACATTTATTAAAAATTAAAACAAAACACTAGGAATATTCAGAAATATTCTTGGATCTTAGTAAAGCTTTTGACTGCATTTCTCACAAAATACTAATAAAAACTTTAAAATATATCGGTATAGTTAATAAACCACGCAGCCTTCTAAAATCATATTTAAATAACAGGAAACAACAAATCCGAATCGGTAACACGTTAAGCGATAAACTATAATTTTCTGTAGAGTACCTCAAGGGACAGTGTTATCACCCATTTTATATTTAATATAGGTACGCAGATGATACGGCGATACTTTAATCTGGAAATAGCCGAGAAGAAGTTTATTATAAAGCTGAAACGGATATGTATTTGATAAATACTTGGTTTTTAAAAGATAATTTACGAATAAATTCCATTCAAAAGCTATTTTATAGAAATGCCCTGTATTTCACATACAAACTTAACTAATTAATTCATTTCAAACCAGTCCATTGCAACACGAGACAAAAAAATAATTTCGAAACTCCCACTATCCACATTGTTACACTGTAACAAAACTGAGTCGGTGTTTTTCTCTAGTTGGCCTCAATTTATTAAATAGAATACCTACCAACACACATTATTTATTGTGAATCTTTTGCTAGATCTATCTGATCAAAATGTGGTTGAATTATAACGTAATTAACATGTAGCATGTACATTAACATGTATATCTCTTTTGGTGTATTTGTGAATCTCGTTTAATTTTTTAATTTGTATCCCTGTGTAAATATTATCCGTTTTTACTATTATTGTTATTATTATTTTTTATTCTCATCCGTATAATATGTCTTAAATAGTACTCCAATTTTACCGATAAAGAGGTTTTCCTCAGTGGTGAATTGGGCCATTTTGTTAATTTAGGTTTATAGTAGATATGTTTTTAAATTGTAATTCTCTGATGGCCAATATATTATTATTATTATAATAAAGAACAATTTTTTTATTATAATTCATAACCATAAGTTGCTCAAGTTTTTTCTGGTTTTTATTTTATACATTGGATTTTCGTTGGTAAATTTTTTTTTATTGTGTTCTATTTACACCTTAACTTCGTATCGATGTAAAATATAAATTTGAGCAGTACAAATACTTAACAACATGGTCTATGTACTCAGATTTTTCATACTCTTTACAAAAGGCCTCGAAGTACTGTGTGTAAATTACACACAACTATATTTTTGTCATTGTTTTTACCGTTTTATTTTTCTCGGTTTCGTATCGAAGTGAATAACAAAATATGAGTAAACACCCCACACAAAAACAGCAATCTAAATCAACACACAAGCGCAAAAACAATTTTACAAATTTTGAATTCAGCACACAGTAACGGTCTGAAAAATACTTTTGAAAACAACATATTTTTCAATTTAAAATATATGGGATTAATTTTCACACCCTCAACTGTTCTTATAAAAATCGTACTTAAGCCAATACTGATATTTTACAAGATCACAATTTCCATAAAAGACAAGTTTGGTTAGGTATATTATTATATATACCTAAGGCTGTTGCGTATGGTCAACGAGAAGTGTACAGATCTAATACGAATAATAAATACAGCAAAACATATTTGAAATTATATATGTGCTGCGTAGAATATATATCTTATTTTATTTTTACTGTTGGTTTAAAACCAAAATAAAAAAGAGAGCATATAATTCAAAAGCTTTCGTATCCATTATAATAATGTGTGCAAAACCCATTTCGAGAAATTCTCTGTGCAGTACTTAAATGTTATATAATATGTTGATTCTGAGCGTTACATAACCGGAAATCTTGTTTCATTTCCCATTTTTTTTGTAATTTTTTTACAACGGCACCGATGCGTTGCGAATTTTACATTAAAATACAAGTAAAAAACTTAACAATCGTAAATCTCCTTGGCGGCGGCGGTAGCACACATAAAAGACAGTGCGCTATTATATTGTGTGCTGGGAAGCAAGAACCGGTAGAAAGGGATAAAGTTGTTTGATAAAATTTTAACTTTCCCCCGCAATCTGCAAACAATATTTAAAACACTGGGACCGCGTTTAAGTCGGCTGTTGTGGCAAGTATATATAAATGAAGAAGTGCCCCCCTCACCTCCCCCAGCCCAGTCTTTTGCCCAACACTGGTCGACGGCACATTTTAATAAATATGTTTTAACGAACAAAAGGCGGCGCTCGCTTGACAGTTCATTTTGAAACTCCAAAATATACTGGCCGCTCATTGTTTCATAAGAAAATTCCGGTTTTAACGAAATTCATACTATCCACTATCGGGGTTGTATATTTTCCTTAAGTTATAGTTTCCCAAAGAATACTGCGACCGACTGTGAACATATTTTATAAAGCTCTCTGCAAAGTCACCACGCTTTTCGGAAATATAATAATGATGCGACTCGTATGCACTGTGTATACTTATATATTTTCTGTTCCTTTTCTTTCAGAACGCCGGTGTGCATGTCTTTTCGTTTTTCGTCTTGATGTTGGGGTCGGGCTATCTACTCGAAAACACCACTGTCGGATCGTCCGTCGTTCCGGTCATCAGAGACAGCATGAAGAACCTGATAATGCAATCGCACATCGAGTCTGTGGGGTACACGTTGAACATGATCCAGGAATCGGTGAGTTTACACCAGAGTCACACAAACAATGTGGTTTGAATTTGAGTATCTGCTGCTTAAGCCGGTTCTACTTTTAATTTGTACAAATCCGTGCAGTACTATTACACACACCCACACACAATATCTGTAAGGTCAATTTTTTACAAAGATGGTACACGAAAAGAAAATATAGACAACAACTAACATGGTAATAATTTATAACCGAGACAATAATATGTCTGCGGAAACTCTACGATTCTAACAATAGAACGGTAGAAGAAAACTAGCCAAGTATAAAGGAGAATGTATAGTGTAAAAACGTTTGGAATAAAAGTCATTATAAATCACAAATTGCATAAAAATCAAAATGAAAATATAGTGAGGCATACACGGCTATAAAACCCAAAATACTGGAATCTTTTATACTTATCGAATAAAAGAATATTACAAAAAATAAATAGTTTCACATAAAACCATATGCAATTGTATCGACTACAGTTGAACATTTCTAAGAAGTGTTCTGTACAAAATGTCTGCTCAAAACGCTCACAGAGTTATTTTTATCGTGTACATGTTTCATGTAGTTAACTGTTCTTGTTTTTGGTCATATTATATATTATGGTTATGTATTGTAGTTGTTGTAACATAGATGTCGTATAAAAACGAACAGCAGACTGGAAAAAGCGCTGTTCAGAAATAACAAATAACTAATCAATATACCGATCACTATATTTCTCATGATTTTTCTGGAAAAAAGGTGGACTGAAGGAATAGACATAGGTTTTGGAGAATTTTTTTTAAAAAATATGCATTATATATGTTTCAACTTTGTATTTATTTATTTATGGTAAGTGCACAACTTTAAAGCTCTGTAGTGAATGAACAGCTATATCAGATAATGAATATGATACAGAAGATATGCATAGACAATTGACCATAATAATTGTACTGTGCTAGTATGATAAATAAGTTATAATTAACTAAAAATAATCGTATATGCTGATAATAATATATTCTTATAATCTGATAATTTTTAACAACGGCCCAATATAAAACGCATTGAATTATTAATTCTTTCCAAGTAGTCTAATACTTTCGTATTAGTTATTTTGCAAATTCCTCTCACAATGACACCAAGTAGAACTGGAGTTATAGTGTCTGAAAAAATAAAAAATATTTATAATTATGTAACGACTAACGAAGGTTAAAAAGTTGGCTTGGTAACTACTTCAGTCCAAAAACAATCATTAAATAATGATCTTTTCTAAATAAAAATTAATTTTGTATTGCAGAGTTTCTATACAACATAAAGATAAATACTATATTATCCAAATTTTGACAAAAGCTAATTTTATGATATTTAGTTTTTTTTCAACTACTTTTATTAGCTTTTCTGAATCGTAGTAGTATAAGCAAATATATTTTTTTAAACATTTTTTTAATTATTTTAGGGAAAAAGTAAAATATATTATGATTTATTTATGTGTACATGGGAGTGAGAAAACCACTTAAACCCACTATCTCACAGGTTTAATATTATTTTATGAAAAACGTAGTGTCGTTGTCTTGTTACTTTGGTCTGCTTTTGGAACTCTATGATCGCTGAAAATCTGCTTGATGTTTTCTTTATTACACTCTCCCAAAGCATAATACACATGACCCAAAGTAAGAAATTTTCCAGAATCAACACAGAAATGATCAAATGTTAGCTGGTATGTTAGTTGTATAGCCTGAAAAGTGTTGAAGTGTGTCTTTAAAAACCACATAGGTTATTATTAATATCTCAAAAACGATCTCAATTGTAACGTAATAGCCGTCAACAATTAGGTTAAGGTAAAACAATTTGAAACTGTTGGTCTTAAATTGTTTGAGATAATTTTATATTCCTGTTCATCTTACGCGAATCGCCCTGTATTGATTATATAAAAATTATACATAAACCTCAAAAAGTCTTTCTTATAATGTTATGCTAAAATATGATTTAATATTTTTTATTAAAAATAAAATACATCTGGATTTTAAGTTCCGAAACAAGGATTCAAAAAATTATCTAGGTTTTACAAACTAATTTACAACAAAAAAAACTCAGATTTCTAATTCTACACCAACTCATTCATAACCGGATAGTCAATCTATCAATAAATAATTATTAATATAGTGTAGAAATAGTTCTCAAATAATTACCAGCTTACCTTCAAATATGAAAACATTAAAGTACAAAATGATTAGAAAACATACTACCTGGTTTTAGATTTAAAAAAAGAGAATAAATGTAGAAATGTAAAATAAAATTATTGTTTATATAATTTAAAAAAAAACTAGTGTTTCTATTATGTACTTACCTCATTTTCTTTTATGATCCTTTCCTCTTTTTCTTCTATGGTCTCGTCCGCAACACATTGATTTACTAAGTAAGATATTAGAAAAGAAAAAAAAAGTAATTTGTATTTTACATCCATTATTTCTTATTTAATATTTTTAAATGCTTATTTAAGTTGGAACTAATTAGAACTAAAATGTTTTTTTATCGCTCTACAGTGACTGGATTTATAGTGAATTTCCCAAGACTAAAGTGGTAATAAAAAATATATTTAACCGTAAATATGTTTCAACAGCATTATTTGACGTTTTTTTTTTTTTACAGAATAATTATTTCGGTTTGTAAACGTAATAACATAAATCATTAACGAAATAAGAACCTACTATGAAATATTGCTGTTTTTTATTACTAATAATCTTGTAAGCAGAATACATATTAATACAACGATGTGCTTTATTTATTGTCTTGAGCATTTTTTTACATGGTCGATTAAATCGCGTGAATCTTGAAAAAAAATTATTATTTATATAATTTTAAAAAGAGTAAGGTATATCTATGTATATTATATACTTCGTTAATGATTCTTTCCTATTTTTCTTCTATGATCTCTAAATTTATAGTAAAATTTTCCAAGACTTACCTGCTAATAAAACATATTCAATAGGAAATATGGTGTTACAGCTTTATATGATGTTTTTCTACAGAATAATATTTTTTTGTTTTGTAAACATATAATAATATAAAACTCTGAACATACAATCAAATTTTTGCCGTTTTTTATGGCTAATAATCTTTTAAAAAAAAGTTTTCATAACGATGTGATTTTATTTGCTGTAAACATTTGATTTATTGCAAAGTCGATTTGATCAAGATAAATATTAAGATCTGACTAAAGATCCAGTAACGAAATCAATATTTATTTATTATTATATTATCTAATTTAAAAATAATGACTACAATACTTTCTGGAATTATATATTCCATATTAAAAATGCTATGGTGATTTTATTGTATTATATATTAATCAGTACATAATATAAAAGATGTTCTAGGAAAATAACCATTAAAATATCCCATAGGAAAATGGAGATTTTTTAACTTAAAAACCACAAAAGTATCTATTTATTAGATATCGACCAGTCAATCTTTTTAGATTTCTTGTTCTCTTAAGAACGGCTATCCATCCAGCTTTTATTAAATCTTTTCAATGCATTTCTGTTAATTACGATTATTAATATAATTATAGTTAATATTTTTAGTAATAATTGGGCCCAACACACGTAGCCACCGTATCCACAATAACAATTGCTTTTTAGCTTTTTATTTTTTTTTTTTAAAACACACGCAGCTTGATAATGTAAGTTTTATTACAATGTTAAATCTAGACAAAATAGACCACCTTCACAAACATATGTATATATGTAACATATGTAACAATTGGTAAATAACATCGTTAAAATGTATAAAAGCAATTATATTTGGGAGTTGTGAATTTTTGGTTTTACTTTTTAAATATCCTAATAAGTTTCGATTATAATGGGGGCCGCTAAATTTATGTTTAGTCAAGAAGATATTTCGATCCTTATTAAGAATGTTATTACTGTGTACGATTATGTATAAAAAAATTCAACACTTAAAATTAAATTTAACGGTAGAATGATTTACATTATTTATGTGAAATTAGTCTCAAAATCATTTATTACAAAATAATAAAACATAAAAAATGTAATATTATACTTAGTGGCGCCAAAGTCCATACTTCCAAAAACTGAGGAGTACACTGAGGATTTGGAGAAATATTTAAAACAATTATAAAATATATGTATATTTATATATGTGATTAACTTTTTATTTATTTATTTATAATATACAATTTTAAAACTCTGTAGTGAATGAACTTTATCAGATAATGAATATGATATAGATATGCACGGATAATTGACCAGAATAGTACTGTACTAGTATGAAAAAAAATTATTAACAACGGCCCAATATAAAACGCATCGAATTATTTACTCTTTCCAAAAAGTCTAATACTTTAGTGTTATTGTTTTCGCAAACAGTCCTCACAATGTCACCAAGCAGTTCTACATCTATCATGGCTGAAACAAAACAAATGTGTGATTTTTATAAATTCTTAGAATATAAACAGCAGTTGCACAAGAAAAACTAAAAAAGACATAAATTAACACAAAAATACTAGGTACCCGCTTACTTTGACTCTGTCGCTCGTTTTTTTTTTCTTAATTTAGTCTATTTCACAAATCAAATGATAATGATCTACAAATCTTTTATTTTTAAATAACTTGACAACATTTTGCCAAGCCAAAATGTACAACATTTGTAATAACTACAAAAAATGTGATTAAAATGTAATTTATTGTTATTATCTTCTAATTCGTTTAGTTTCAGAAACAATATCTTATACTATTACAAAAGGCATAACTTAACTCAACATTTTTTGAGGCTGGCCTTTTTTTAACAAATTAATATTTTTATACACCCCAATATTGTAGTTGTACGTCTTGTATAAGGTTAAGGAAAAATTAAAATGTATGATTTCCTTTTTTGTAGATGGGAGTGAGAAAACCTCCCAAAAACTGAAAACTATTATTATAATAATATGACAAATGTTGTGTCTTTAATTGTTACCTTGAAATATTCTTGGAACTTTAGTTTTGTGGAAATACTGTACAATGTT